CTACGGCCCCCCCCCTTCCCTCTTGCCCGCCCATGCCAGGAGCAGCATGCCAGGGCAGGCTGGCTCAGGGGCAGCCACGTGTCTGGAGGAGCTGTCAGAGGAGCGGCACCCCGGGGCCCCAGCTGGCAGGGTGGCACGGGGAGCTCTGCCAGCTGCGGGCTGCCTGCTGAGGGCTCTGCCAGCCCCAGGCAGGAGCAGGCGGGTGGTCGTGTGGCTCAGGGGGGCAGGAGGGCCAGGCCAGGGGACGCTCATCCCTGGGGTGGCAATACCATCCAGGAACTGGTGTGCCCAGTTCCTGCCAATACCAGTGGGAATCAAGTGCTGTGTGGGTTTGTGGAGGAGCCGCTCTTGGAGACAGTGGCCAGGAGCCCCTCTTCCTACAGCCTCCTCCCAAGTCTGAGTGCTGGAGATGGAGAGATGGGACACCTCCCAAAACACACCTTCCCCTCCGTCCCCATCCCCTGTGTGTCATCCACTCTAGGCCAGCCCTGCCTTGGCATTCAGGTGGGTGAGAGTTGGCCTGTCATGGGGGTGGGGGGAGCATGGGATCCCCCCAAGCAGGGCTCCGCACCCCCGCTGCCAGAAACCCCCGTGCTGCGGCTGCGAGCGGCAGGTCTGGGCAGGGGAAGGATGTTTGGAATTCATGTCCTGGAGCAGAGAGAGACAGGAGCAAATACTAATAATAAATAATCCTGCTGGGTGGAGGCTGTGCCGGTGGAGGGAGGGGGGCAGGCAGCACCCTGTGGCAAAGCGGGTATGGGGGGAGAGTGGGCAGGACAGCTTCATCGCTGTCACCTTGCAGAGGGGTGAGTGGCACCCACGGCGTCCCTTGCAGCACTTCTCTCCAGGTGCCAGCTTGCAGCTGGGAATGGGATTTTTACTGCTTAGAGGGGCATTTCTGGGTGATGTGAGGAAGCTGCGGGTACCACCCGGTCACTCAGGACCTCCCCGCCTGCATCCAGCACTGGCTCACTGAGCTCCCCTCTTTTCTATGGGACAGCACCCGTCCTTGCAAGGGGAACCCGTAGGACCTTACAGCTGGGGTGGAGGAATGCTGGCAGAGCCTGGCCATCCCCCAGATTCTGCATATCTGCTTGCAAGAGACAGCTCCTGCCCCAGGCAGCCCGCTTCTGGGAGGGTGCATCATCTGGGAAACAGCACAGAGCACAGGGGAAGCGGGAGAAGGGGAGATCTGAGCACCCATGGGTGCCGGTGGGAGGATGCTTTTCTTGCAGTCTTTGCCAGAGCTGACCCCGCATCCCAGTCCTGGCTGTTCCCCTGCAGATATCCGGGAGACAGCCTTCGTGTACGCCATCACGGCGGCGGGGGTGAGCCACGCCATCACGCAGGCCTGCAGCATGGGCGAGCTGCTGCAGTGTGGCTGTGAGCTGACACGGAGCCGGGCTCCCCCCTCGCCCACAGCAGGTCCGGGCATGGAGGGCACGGCCTGGGAGTGGGGGGGCTGCGGGGACGACGTGCAGTTCGGCTACGAGAAATCCCAGCAGTTCATGGATGCCAAGAGCAAGAAAGGCAAAAATGACATCCGAGCTCTCATCGACCTGCACAACAACGAAGCCGGACGTTTGGTAAGGTCCTCACACTCCCTGCCCTCCCCAAGCATCACCCCTCAGTATCCCCACCCAGCTCAACCCTCCTCCAAGCCATGTACCTGGACCAACTTTGGGTGAAATATGGACCAATATCTTTCAGGAATCCTTTGCAGGTGCTTTGGAAACACTCTGTGCCCACCCCTCCCAGCACGTTCCCTCGGGCCAGGGCAGCACCAAGAGGCAGGGTTTTGGCTGGGGGTCTGGGCAGGGAGGCGAGGGATAGAGGTCTGAGCATCGCCGTCTGTTCCCCAGGCGGTGCGCGGCTACATGAGGACAGAGTGCAAATGCCACGGGCTGTCAGGGTCCTGCACCCTGCGGACCTGCTGGCGGAAGATGCCCCATTTCCGTGAGGTGGGGGACCGCCTGCTCGAGCGCTTCAACGGGGCTTTCAAGGTGATGGGGGGCAACGATGGGAAAACCCTCATCCCCGTGGGTGACAACATCAAACCGCCTGATAAGCAGGACCTCATCTACTCAGCCGACTCGCCCGATTTCTGCTCAGCTAACCGTAAGACGGGCTCGCTGGGCACCCCGGGCCGCGTCTGCAACAAC